TTTTTACAACTTGTAACTTCCATTTATTTTAATCAACCCTTCACGGCAGCGTTTCTTAACAGTTTTTTGAATTTGCCTCACAGGTCTACTCACAAGGCAACTTTTGTACTGAACTCAGTGACAATTTTAAACATTTGTATGTAACGTAGGTCGTGGTTACAGCGAGTGAAAAATGATAGCATTAAATTTTAATTAACGCGTCACATGACGTCCGTGTGTTGTTCCTTGACAGTTTAGATCATAGTTTAGATCATATCAGGCTTTTCAAAAGTAAGTGGGAGGGAGGAGACAAAGGAAGGAAAGAAGAAAGAAAAGCTTCACACATAAGGCCCCCTCACAGCATGACACGCGTCTCGAAAAAGTAAACCAGTAAAATCTCATCAGGTCTTGCAAATGTGATGCCAAAGATAAACGACTTTTCAAAGCGGATAGCGGCTGATTGCTGGGCTCTTCAAAGTTTCGTGAGAGTCGTTACTAAAATTTGCGCACAAAATACCGCTCTTGTCAGTGCTGAGGTACTGCTGTTTTATAAGACCACCGCTCTTCTCCCAGTCCCCTCTCCGCACACCTTTGAAGGCCTGATACCCGGGCTATTTAGTTCACCGTTACCCTGAAATGTCCTGGATATTTTTGTCCTAGTAACAAAACAGACCGGCTAATATACGATACGATGGAGTTCTAAGAAAATACTCAGTTCCATTAAATGACATTTAGTTGTTTGGATTCACGATGTTTCAAATCTTAGAAGATCTACATGCAACCTTGAAAAGTAGGGCTCGAGGGTATCAAAAAATCATCTCAATGAATTTGAAGTAGACCAGAAGAAAAGCAATCAGTTTAAACGTTTGATGGACTTAAGAAAGTCAGCCAGTTCCTTTTTTGCCCTTCCAGCCGGGGCCTGTTCACAGGCTAACGGGCGAAAATTCAAAACCTGAAGGATAAAAACAGCTTCTTAGATACACTGCATTGCATGGAGCTTTACGAGTTTACACAGAGACGAGATTCTTAGCAGTATGATACCCAAACCTTGGCCTGTATGTATAAAACGTCATTGTATTTTTTGCCAAAATTTCAATTTCAAAGAATTTCTTGGAATTTTCCCTTTGAGTAGTTCCGACATAATTCAGCAGATTTCTTTCCCATCTGGCTGGCTTTGCTGATATGA